ATTTTCCGATGGCAACAAATTTCTTCTGAGGGAGATTTTCGAGTGGGAAAATCTGAGGGAGATTTTCAACTTTCCCCAACTGGCATCAAAAACAGAGTAAAAGGCGATTGTTTGTCCAACGAGGAGAAGCATGCCACGGGTACATGTTTCTGTGTGGGATGTGAGGAGATTCCGCCCTCCCTTGGCCATATGTTGGGGAGACTCAGGCTAGGAGAGGCTTTCCGGCACCACGGCTGAGACCTTCACCCGGCGGAGGCAGCAATGTCGCGTATGCTCACAGTGTGAGCTGAGCATGGCGTCCAGCACAAGGGTCATATTTCTCGTTAGCCTTTCTCTTCTTTTTTGGCTCATGTTGAGGGATTGTCTTTGTGCTGTGAATGGAAATGCTGATTGTCCTTCAGGGCTCAACAATGGGGCAAGTGGAGCCTGACTGTTTCTTCACACTCAAGTGTGTCTGGCTGTGAGTGTGCATCTGGGTGAAATGGAACCTGACGTCGGCGATAGCAGCTCGACCAGTCGGTCTGGGAGGTATGTCCAGTATGTCCAGAGCAGGCCTGGAACCATCCTTACGACTGGCCCTCCCAACCCCCGCCCCCCACCACCCCCTTGTCCAGGCTGTGAACCTCAAGTTCCTGCTGAGACAGGTGCCCTTTGTATACCAGGGTGACCAGGGCTGTCTGTGCTTCAGCAGGGACTAACATGCAGGCATTGCACGCTGAGACTGTACACCCCAAATAAATGATATCCCCAGGACTCAGGCTCAGAGTCAGAAATGAATTTCACTGAAATTGTATATAGGGCACAATGAGAGGGCATTTTCCTCTAAATTAATAATGATTCTTAAAAATGATAACATAAGCTATCTCCCAGATACTACCAGTTGTGCATACAACCTTTTGCTAAAATAATCAGCATGTTTTGAAAGCCTTGAAAAGTTCTATCCACGAGAAACTTCCATAACCTGACAAGATACAATGTAAACACATAAAAAAGAAGAGCTTCCTGATTTATCAGTAGTAGCTTATTAGAAAATATAACAGGACAGAAAAGATCTCAGTCCATCTATGTGGAACATCGAGGAATGAATTCTGTTTTCTAAGAACAATGCAGAGTTCCTATGAAGAAAACCACGAATGTTGACAGAGAGATATGAAAGTAACCTTAAATAAACAGAGAGAGAGGAAATGGAATACTGTATTCTGGAATGAGAAGTCTTAATACTATAGTCAGGATGTCCATTCATTTTAAATCAATTGATAGGTATCACCTAATTCAGAGGGGTCACATAAAAAAGGGCCAACAAAAGATATTTTTTGAGTTTGCTAAAACTGATTCTGAAGTTCATCTGGGCAATATATTTGATGTATCTGAGGTAGTAGCTAAAAATAATCTGGAAAATAATAATTGTACTACAGATTTTAGAACACAATAGAAAAGCTTCTGTAATTAAAACAATGTGGCATAGCATGAGGTCAGAGAGGGAAAAAATGGAACAGAATTAAGTAGCCTGGAGACATACTCTAATTTCCACAAGAATTTATTAAAGGGGAGAAGTAGCAGGTCTGTAAACAGAAGTGGAAGAATTACATATCTAATAAGATAAAAATTAATTCCTGTCATATAACAAAACACATGAACTCAGAACTGGATAAAAAGTTGAATCTGAAATGCTATCATGAAAACATAGAAGAAAATATAAAAATGAAGAGAAATCTAAAGCTAGGTTAGAGAAGGATTTTCTAAGCATAAAAACAAGAGGAAACGTCAAAGTAAAAAAGGCTGATAAATAGGACGACAGTCAAATTAAAGACTTCCATATGACCAAGAAACCGTAAACGAATTTAAGAGACAAATGACAAACTGGGAAAAATATTCCCAACATTACACCAAAAGGTTAATATCCTCTTATGCATAAGGAGCTCTCACAAATCAATAAGAAAAGATGAATATAAACAGAAGAACAGGCAGAGGATGGAAATGTCAATAAACACAGACAAATGCTACAGCTCGCTGGTAATCAAGGGACTGCAAATCCGAGACCACGGATGCCACTGCTCACCTACCCACCAGAGTAGGGTTAAGAACAAATTGTAAGACTGGGTAAAATAGGGGTGCACATGTTAATATTGGGAAAGTAAAACACAGGTTTCCTGGGGGCAATGTGGTCACACGATGGCAATGTGGTCACACAGAAGCCATCGTGTGACCACATTGCCCCCTGCATGCGCCTACTTTGGACTCAGTTAAACCAGTTCTAGGAATTATTGCTCAACAGATCGTCCAAAACATCTGCAGAAGCAGATATTTATGTTCCACTGTATCCGGTCACAACGTTATTTATCATAGCAAATAACCGAGTTATCTAAATGTCCAACAATCGGAAGTTAGTAAATAAAATATGGCACATTGATGTAATGGAATATAATGAAATATCACTTTTTAAAATCACATTTATGAATGTGTAATGACAAGGGAAAATCAATAGCAAGTTAGGAGGGGAAAAAGGCAGGAGAAAAAATGATCTGTATGTAGTAGGATCCCAATGACAAATAATAGACTGCAAAATGTTAAAATGGTTTTCATCTCTTAGTGGTTAAGATTACACATGGTTTTCCCATCAAGAACATTACTCTGATAATTTGAAAGTTAACAATTTTTAGAAGATCAAACTTTGGCAATTCTGTTTCAAGAATTCTGTCCAAAATATTCTCTTGTGCACTTCTTAGGATCACCCTGGAGACGGTACTCGGGGAAAGGCTGGGTGGAGAATGTAATGGACTTGAAGTACCCTCTGCTGAGCCTTGTCAGATCTGTCTGACCCCAAATTTATGAACCAAAATGATACACAAGTATATTCACTAGAGTAGAGAGGGGAAAAATGACACCCTATGGGCATGGCTATGTAAACCAGACTATGAGCATGATGGAATACCATGTAGGCATTAAGATGTGATGTTTAGAAATCACTTTCAGTGATACGGAAAGTGTTCCAAAGTAAAAAGCCACGCAAAATTTCATCTGCAAAATAATGAAATTAGGAGAAAACATAAAATAGCAACATTCACCTCTATGCAACAGGTTTTTAGAAACTATTATATAATCCATTATGCTTGAAAATATTACATAATGGGTGTTGCTTTCATTACCAAAAATGCTCCACATTAACTTAAAACAAAGAAAACATCACCCACTATAATAGGACCCTCTTCCTTATATCTATCCAACCTTTAATGTCGAGTTCAAGGTTCACTTCCTCCATGCAGCCCTCCTTGATTTACTCTGATCTTCCAAAATATGTTTCCAAACTAGAGTTTTGATTCCTGATTTCAGAAACTGCCGTACACGTCTGTTGGTATGGTAACTCTGGGACCAGAGTCACGTGAGTGGGAAGTATGACATAGGCTGCTCTCATGTCTTGTATGTGCGGCTGTGCGCTGAGCAGAGCTGCCACTGCTGTACCTCCTATGGCCGGGTCCTCGTGGTTGGGGAAAGGGTGGACGATTACCCTGTGAGGGACTGTCATTGTCCATGGAAAAATGAGAAAACTCAAGTATTTAGTGAATTTTCCAAAACGTTAAACTGTGCAACTCTCTTATATTCTAGGATTACATTTTTCCTATTCTTTGTTGTAAAAACATCAATTATTTTTTGAAATGATGGAGTGAAGAGCCGATAATAATTTTAAGTGTTATTTACCAAACTAATAACTGGCAACTCCATGTCCCTTTCCTCATGTTCAGCATGTTTCATGGTCCATAAGAAAATAAGCAATGCAAATACATTTTTTGAATAAGGGAATTGAGATGATTTATTACACTTGTAATCCAAACAGTCTCGGTGCTGATTGAACAAAACCAGAACCTTCTTGTTGGTCTTTAGAGAAGTATTCCTGACTAGCCAATCTGAAATAACCACCTGATTGGTCCTCACAGCACTTACTATGCTCTAGATTGGACTCACGTGTTTTTTTTTTTTAATGCTAGGAATGTATGTTCCAAGAGAATAAGATCTTAGTTAGGTCCCTGATGACACATAATATGTACGTACTCAGTAGACATATGTTGGAGAAGGTGAAGGATTCCTTGCATGAAATGACTTTCCCAGAGTCTTAAATAGTAGAAAATCAAATTTAGTGCTTGAAATCATTCATGAGTGATGCCGGTTCTGGGGACTCATCCTTGTCACACACTAGCTACGTCCTAGCACACGGCATCTTCTACCTGGCAGAACAGTTGTAAAGGTTTGTTTGGTGCCGGGTCATTCTGGGATGAAGACATTAAACACAGAGCAAACACAGCAAGCAGAGAGCAGAAGTCCGGCTACCGGCTCACCCACGGCAGGACGCAGGAAGGGAGGCACACACACCACTCACTGCACCCAGCTCTCCACTCCCCACGTCTGATTAACACTCTCTCCCCCAGGCCTCTCAGCTTCTCTTTTGAAAACAAATCCTTTTTACAGTAGTTGATGAGAAAATGCCCTCTTGTGGGCGTGACAGTGGACCACCTCAAGAGTGTTAAAGATTCCTGAAAATGTAATGCAAGAGAATTCCTTCATTCGATTTAAAGATCTTTTTTAAATCTCAAACAGCAAACTCTTTGTTTAAGTGAAAAGGCAGCCTCTAAAAGGCCATTAAACACTCGGTTCGCTTCTGCACGTCTAACTTAGCGAAGCAAGTCCTGATGATCTCAAACAGCATCATCACAAAGATAATTATTCTCCTTTCTAAACTTCTGTACGCCTTGCTAATGACTGGGTGACTTTTTTTTTTATCATCGCCCAGAATCTGCCTCCTTTCTGCTCCCAGGAAACCATCACCTGAGATTGACAGGCAGCAATTGAAAATAATAAAATTATGTAAGATGAGCTTGTAATCACCAGCATTTCACAAGAAGCAAAATGCATTTCACTCTGGCTGAGGAACAGAAAGTTTCTTCCTCATTTTAAATCTGTATCAGAGGTAAAGCCTTCTATTAAAACACAATTCTCTGTACACTTACAGACTCTGGCAGGCTGCCAAAGCGACTATCATGGAGATTGTTGCAGGGAGGCAGGCCGTCAAAGCCAAGGAGGAGCGCTCGGGGAAAGGGAGCAGCCTCTGGGTTCTTGGGAGGGCTCTGCTCGCGGCCACCCTTCTTCTGGCAGGTTCCTCTGTAAGTGGAAATGCACGTGTGCATATGTGAGTGTGCTCACACACACATGCACACACACACACAGATACCATTTGGATTCCTTTCTCACGCCTTTGGGTCATACCGTATTATTTTCATCATAAGTATTAAATTGCAAATTGTGCAGTCCAGAAACTGGTTAATTACAACCTTTTCCCTGGATGCAATGTACAGGTACAAGTGACCACTTGGGGGCACAGTGATTAGAGAAGGCTGGCACTGCATTCAGCAAGGCAGACTTCTGAGGTTTGAAGCCTGCCTGAGCACCCCTTAACAAGAAGGTCTCCAAATCCTGGATCCTGCAGGAGCCCCAGGATGAACCGGGACCCGGGGGGATTGTTCATTCAGGAGAACCAGGGCCCCACTGCTGGGACAGTTCATAGGGGACTGTGTGAAACCATTTTGCTTCTTCCCCTCTTTCAAAAACTGGCTGTTTAGAATTTTCCTCCTTTCCGGCCTGTTCTGGTCCTGTTTCCATCAGCACTGGGGTGAGCATGGACACAAACACACTCAGCTCACTCTGGGAGTGGCCTGTGATGCACACTAACCTTGTCAGTGTACATTTCTTCCCCTCGCTAAGTGAGTTTCTACGTTTTCCCATTATGAAAAATACACTGATTAAAAAATATCTGGAGAATTTAAAAATTTGACCACTGTTAACAGCATGGCGTACTCCTGGCCTCCGCCCTCCCTTCTTGTTTGTTATTATACACTTGATATCAGAGTATGTTGACAATTTTCTCCCTGATTTCTTTTAATTAACCAAGTTTCCTTCTTAATTAAAAGCTATTCTCTCAAATAACCAAACTCATGATAAAGTCATTTTGGAAACTTTGTTCTCAGTCCCAGAAAAGGGTTTGGTGTTTCTCCCTAGGGTTCCTGGAGCAGAAGGAAGGCGGGAAGACCAGGCCTCCCAGCCCCACACTCACACCCCCCCAAGGACAACCAGGTGGTGTGGTTCATGGCTGGACAGAAGGGGACACACACCTGGGGTGGGGAGGGACGTGGTAACACCTGGGAGCCAGATACAGGTTGGGCTTTCACCAGTGACCCCAAGGCCAAGGACTTGGGGGAGCACCCAGGCTGACGTCCTAAAAGGACGTCAAAGGAAAAATGGAGCAAAGATCATCTTTTGAGACTCAGATTTGGAAACAGACATTTCACAGCCTGGTGAGGGGATCCCTTATCGAGTCACAGGTTTCAGGAAATTCTCCCTTTTTCAGTGTGATGATAAGTAACACAGAGGAGGAAATTCCAGAGGGTTCACACTTTTCCATCCAGGACAGGCTGGGAAAGCACCAGATGACGGGGGAGGATCCCTCCCCAGAAACCCCTGGCACAACTCTTCCCACGTTCTAGGATTTGGAATGCCAGGGCCAGCTCTGCCTCTGACCGGCAAGTCTGAAATGGCATCGGCGTCTCTAGGCCCTGCTTACACAAACTGAGGCGCTCAGCCGAGGCCCTTGGAAAAACATCAGCAAAGGAAACCAGACAAAGGTAACGAAACACTTGAGCAATTCCCCGGGGGCACAGGGTCCGCTGGGGCCGCCTACACAGCTGTCTCACCGAGGGTCTGGGTCAGGGCGTTCCCATGGGAGGGGTCCTCCAGGAGGAAGGGCGGGCTGGGTCTGAGAGAGGATGGGCAAGATGTCTAGAGAAGGGCAAGGGGAGCAGGGAACTGAGGGCGGCTTGGCCTGACCACGCAGCAGCTCCAGACAGCCTACGACGGGCCCTCCTGGCTCCAGACATAGCTCTCTCCAAGGGCAGATCCTTTCTCTGTCCCCGTCAGGGCCCCGCTGGTGGGCGGGTGGACCTGACTCTTGTCGGGCCCTGGCTTGCTGAGAGCCTTCTCACACCAGCCCCCCATCCCACGAGCCCTACCATGGTGGGTTTGGCTGAGGGCACTGACCACTCAGTCCCAGGACCATGCACACACAGTTTTGTCAGTGACGTCTCTCAGAGCAACATGTCCTTTCGGTCACGATGCAAGCCCAGGCTGGGCCCTCAGTGCTGCTGTGCTCTGGGACAGGTTTGTTAGCTACAGCTGTGAGCTGGTGGGCTTGGCAGGGGGCTGGGGGTACAGAGCGAGGTTCCTGAGTGGAGGGAGAGAGACTACCATAGACGCACTTGCCCTCAAAGCTCCTCCAAGTGCTCCTTATTTTGTGGGGCTTCCCAGGGACCATAGCCTCTCCCCCCACCCCAGCCCCTGGCCTGGGGCTCCACAGCGCTGGCCTTGCAGCATGCTCTCAACATTCCACCACCAGGAATGGGGAGCAGGGGAAAAGCTGACCCTGGCTGTGTTTGCCTTTCATACAGATGAATTCTGAGCTCCTGGAGAGCATGAACTGCCCTCCCAATATACACCTGTTATAGGCAGAACATGGGCAGCAAAGCAATTATTAGTGTCATTTTGTGAGCTAGCTGTACACCATGAAATGAAATAACTTGCAAGACTCCACCATCTCTGGGGGGCTCGCTGGGAAAGATCCACCTGGCAGCCAAGTCCGCAGCTCTTAGGAGTCAGGCCTCACTGCTTCAGGAACTGAGACACTGCCCAGAAGAGTGCGGGGTGGGGAGTGGGGTAGGGGACTGACTGAAAAGTCACCAGAGATCACAAGAGCAGGCAAAGTCCTAGGAAAGGGAGCGTGACACTCCCGTTCTAGCCTCAGACTAAAAGCATTAACACGCTCAATGAAAGCCAATCAGCCTTGGGCTCCATCCAGGGGAGGGACCCACTGGGCCTCCCCAGCCCTGCTCCTCCCACCCCCACCCCTTGCCCCTGCAGGCATCTGGTCAGCTCCCCCAGAAGCCGCCTGGGCTGGGAAGATGGGGTCATCTCTAAGAACACTGACCTTTAAGGGCATCACCAGCCTCCTGTCCTGAGGGCAGAGTCCCCAGGCAGCCCCCGGATGGTGAGTTAGTGGCTTCAGGGCCAAAAAATGTTGACCAGCAACTGGTATGGCATCCATCAGGTGCAAAATTTTCATGTAAAACACTAAATGGCCTGAAAACAGCTCACTCTGGGTCCACAGCCAGTCCAACAGGAAGCACAGAGGAATTGTGCGTGGACATTCCCAGTGGGCCAGGCAACATCCTCGCTGCTCGTCCCCAGACAGAGCACCACCCCAACATGAAAGCACAGGAGAGTGGACACACAGGCAGAGGCACACGCTGCGGAGTACTATTTAGCAATGAAGAATGAATGGCTGGGACACATGTCCACATGGATAAATGGCACACATGGTATGTGAGTGAACCCCACCAGGCACACTGGAACACACCCTGTGTTACTGCGTTGATACGACAGTCAGTAGTAGACAGCTCATCTATGGTGACTGATGCTGGAAACTGGTTGGGGAGAGGAAGGGAACTTGATTGGAGAGGGGCACCAGAAAGCTTTCTGGGGTGATGGAGACATCTTGTTTGGGATGATGTTCATACAATTATCAAAACATAAAACTGAACACTTAGATCTCTGGATTTTATTGCATTACTTCAACTGCTATACTTTAAATAAAGTAAGTAAACAAATGTAATGTCCAGCACAGGCTTAGGTTTATAGAAAGTGCACAATAAGATTAGCTGAATTGCTAAAGTACTGAATAAAGGCCTGTCTTTCCTGAGCAAATTGTTTAAAGAATTTGTCAGGAGAACCAATTTGTAGTATGTTTGAATATCTATTACTTTATTGTGATAAAAATATATGGAACAATATCATTTTCATCATCTAAGTGTACACCTCAGTGGCATTACGTCCATTCACACTGCTGTGCCACCATCACCCCCACTCATCACCAGAACTTTTTCAGTTTTCTCAAACTGAAACCCTGTCCTCATTAAACACTAACTCCCCACCCCTGTCCCCAGCCCCTGGCAATGACATTCTTATGCTCCCCATGAATTTGACTACTTGAGGCACAGAGCATGCACAGATACGTGAAATCATACAATATTGGTCCTTTGATGATTGGCACATTTCACTGAGCAAGTGTTCAAGGGCCATCCACGTTGTAGTACGTCAAACTTTCCTGCCTTTGTTAAAGCTGAATAATAGCTTTAAAATCTCTGCCCTGGATGCAGAGATTATATTTTGCTTATCCATCATCTGCTAATGAACACTGAGGAGGCTTCCACTTCTGGGCTATTGTGAATAACGCTGCTATGTCAATGGGTGTGTAAATATCTGTTCAAATCCTTGCTCTCATGACTTCTGGCTATGTCCCAGAAAGTAGAATTGCTAGATCCTATGGTAATTGTATGGTCAATTTTTTTAAGAAACTGCTGGACTGTTTTCCATAGCAGTTACACATTTTACATTCCCGTGAGCAGCACATAAGTGTTCCAATCTTCCTAATGTCTCTATATCTTCACCAACTCTTGCTATTTTATGTTTTTTTTCCTTTTTTTTAGTAATAATCATCTTAATGGGTGTGAAGTGGTATCTCATCATGGTTTTGATTTGCATCTTCCTAATCATTAATGGTATCGAGTAAGTTTTCATGTGCTTATTGGCTATTAGTACATCTTCTTTGGCAAAATGCCTATTTAAGTCTTTTGCCCATTTTTAATCACGCCATTTGTTTGCTGAGTTGAAAGTTTTAACTGTAGCTTTATGCAGGCCTGAGAAACGGTCATACTTGGTCCCAGATGCTATTTCAAGTCCCCTACACCCGGCAGCGACATGGGGCACAGGCGCGAAGGGTCAGACTGGCAACTGCCTTCCTGTTTTCCTAGGATGAGGAGACTGCACCTGCCCCAGGTGTCTGTTCCAGGTGTCAAAAATGCTTCCAGAGGCCCGAACTCCTGGGAGGCAAACCTGGTGTAGAAACAGTTGACGGTCACACATTAAGTTGTGCCTTCACCGTTCTATGGGCAGGGCCCCAGCAGTCACCCCGGAAGCCCTCATGCACAAAGCTGGTGTCTGTGGTTTCTGAGGAACCTGGGAGAGAAGCTTTAAATTCTGACATGGGGACCTGAGCAGGAGGGTGGCTCGACCTCGAGAGCCCAGGGAGTGGCAGGATCTCCCTTCTGCAGCCTTCGTGCAGAAACCAGCTCGGCATCCTTGCCATGGCTTTGCGTGCAAGCGTCGCAGCTCCTCCCTGCAGACACCCGCTGCTGCCGTCCACTTCCCTCGCGCTGTCATCATGGTGTCTTCCAGGAGGCACGGCCCACACCCCCTCCCGCCAGAGCACCCCAAGGGCTGTGCACTGCCAGACCTCTCCGGGGTGCCAGAGCTAGGGTGGGAGAGGGGGGCTGTCCCCTCAGATCCCAAGTGAGGTGGTGACTTCATAGAGAAGGAAGCAATGTTCCCACAAAAATACTATTTCTTCTCTTGGGGGAAAGAAGGAAAATTTAAACGTGGGGAAAGGTGCTCTCCACGCCCAGGCAGCCACCCGGACAGACGCCCCTTGCTTCCTGTTTGCAGCAGAGCAGGGGGAAGCGGCGCCCGCTTGGCACACCTCGGCTGCGGCGCTCCTTTCGCAGTTTGAGTATTATTCAAGTTTTGATGATTAAAGCCGGTTGGAGCAGCATGAACCACATAGATTAGAGCACTCCACTGACAGCAGGCGCTGCACTGGCGAGACCAGCCAGACGGCTGCGGCTCGGGGCCACCCGCCCCCCCGGCTTCCACATGGGCGCCTGCACCTTGGAATTGGGGGGCCCCGGCTTTGGGCAGTCAGGACCTGAGCGTGGACATTTGACATTTCACCACATCAACCACACAACCAGTTCAAGGGCAAAATAACCCACCGCAAACACACAGGCTGATTCAGTGGCAAACGACTGGTCCCTCGCCTCCGGAGGTGGGAGTAGGGTTTGGAAGCTCTCGGAGCAGGAGGGTCCTGAGCTAAGACCCTCTGTCAGTGCCAGCCAGGGGACCGGCTAGGGGTGCACATGGGCACAGGGCAGCCCCCCTTGGCATTCACATTGCAACCAGGCAGCTGCCTGCTATAAAATGAGCTCTGCTGAGTGTGGGACGGATTCAGTGCTCTTGTCTCCCCAAGGTGGCAGAGCTGACCCTTGGGTCATACCCTCAACTATAGGTAGAGTCAAAGGCAACAGAAGTTTCTAAATGCTCTTCCTCCCAACTTACATTGTCACAAAGGGGTAACGCTCCCTGGCCTGGCATCAGCCTGAGGACTGGACACCATTTTCTACTTCTCTCTACTGGCCTGGACAGAGTGGTCGATGGCCACAGCAGCATTCAGAATCAGGTTCTGTGTCCCTGGTCTGTCTCTCAGAATTTCTCAGGAAATTCCTGGACTGGACCACTTGGTGATCTTACCCCATGTGCTGCCCACATGTGTCATGAGGAGTCACGGGCTTCCTGGTTAGATGGGGAACTCTTCTGGCCAGGCCCTTGTGTCAGAGAACTCAAAATAGTTGAGTTTCTCATGTGTGGCAGGTTCAAGGCTAAAAGACAATGGTAGACGTGGCCCTCAAGGAGACTTTGCTTCCCAAGATGAATCCAGAAGTAATCACTTGTTCACGTGACTTGGAGCAGAACCAGCCCATCCATACACACAGCTAGGGCACTTAGGACGAGCCTGGCACTGTTCTAATCACTTTGTAAATAGGAATCCATTTAGTCAAATACTCACTTCTCACACACTAAGTCAGGGTACCAGGAAACGTCCTGATCACAAAGAAAAGCAGTCAACTAGGCCTCAGCCTTTGAGACAAATGCAGAGCTGACTTCTGTTCAGCTTGCAGATGACAATGGCATGAGTCTAAACGTGAAGATACTTGAAACCACAGCACTGGGCCTCTGCTTCTTTGCATTTATTTTACACCGTTAAATAAAATTCGCTGGACCTCAACTTATTATGTCAACTGTGAGCAATGTGGCTAACTGCGTGATAATTTTGTTAATTTAGGAAGTGATTTATGTTTTATATGACAGGAACACTGGCTCTCGCCTTTCCCGAGTAGTGGTCTGGAGGATCAGCTTGTTCACCCTTCGAGCCTGCCAGCGCCCAAGTTTATCTCCCTGACCTTGGGCAAATGGCTTTCTTTAGAATTCATTTGCAAAACGGGAATGTCACCCTGTGGTGGAGTGAGCCACATAAGAGGTGCCATGGGAGAGGAACTGCTGTCTTCATGGTGCCTGCTTGGTCAATAGTTCCTGAGTCCACACTCACTAGAAGCTCCAGGAGCTGAAAATGTATCATTGACATTCCCTGGCATGCAAGGGTCAGCTGCAGTTGGGGCTGGAAGCAAATACTTAACACTGGAAATTTCAAATGAGAAAGTGAAAAAGCAAGGGGAAATTTTTCTTTTAATTCACGTTTACCATTTCCCACCACCTCTCGATGTTGCTCGAAGTTCAAAAGGAAATCAGGATATTCTGCTCTAATTTGGCCCAAGCCTTGGCTGCTCATGCTTTTCACAAGACAGGCTGGAGGCCTCCTGTCTGCTCTTCCCTCACCAACAAGCCCCTCCCTAACCCACACCCTGTTTCCAAGAGCTTTGTGAGGTGGCCCTTAGAACAAGCAACCTCATGCCTGATTTTACCTTTAGGGTGAAACAAGTCAGGGAGTCTAGGAGAGGGAGGCCGTGCCTAAACAGGAGCCCCCACCCCTCTGCAGCCCAACGCTCACCAAGCTTGTCCTGGGAGGTCACTTAGTCACGGGCTTGATGGCAGGCACCAAACTGTGGCTTTCTCCTGGGGAATTTTATACTGAGGAAGTCACTGCTTGACTGAATGAGGTTGGAAGAGTTAAAGAGAGCAAACACATCTTTGTGATGTCTGTG